AGCCAACCTCTATCTATCTATCTATCTATCTATCTATCTATCTATCTATCTATCTATCTATCTATCTATCTATCTATCTATCTATCTCTGTCTAACTCTTGCAGCCTCTGTGTATACAGTACATCTGTCTGTTTGTGTCTGTCTGTCTGGCTGTGTGTTCATCTGTTTGTCTGTATCTGTTTGCATTGCAATGGCCTCCAAACATAAACTTGACTCACAGGATCCCAACTACTAAGAGGGGAGACGCATGGCTCATGAACTGAAACTAGACCGTTTTCTAGCTGAAGCCAGGGTAAGAGTTTTTATATACCTCAATCATTTTATACTTGAACATGTGTATGGGTGACAAATTAAAGTAAAATGTGATGAATGCAGAAGAAGGATGAATGCAGAAGATTACATGCAGGTACATTGCATGATGCATTAACATCCTATACTTTGGCATGTGTAACTGAGGGAATATATTTTGGAAAAAGGAATATATTTTGGAGTTACAGAGACTTGGATAATCTATGGCAAGGCTCATTTAAGCCATTCAACACCTTACTAACACACTATGTTGTGTTTTCCTTTCACTAATCACCTGTCTTTTGGTTCCAGTACCTTTAACATCAGTCTTACAAGAAATATTCACTCCAACACACAGACTGCAGCTGTGGAGAGAAAACGTGCACGCTCTGTAGGAGACCCACCACAGACCTCTAAAAGGGAGTTTTTAGGACATGGCAAGCCGAGGGTGAGGCAAGGAGGGCGACACCAAGCTTCAGCTACAGGTTATATCTGAATTATTTTACATTTGTAGGAATTTACTATGTAAATGTTGGACCAAATCAAATTAGAACACTGTAATTGATTGTTGAGAGTTTAAAATATTCCAATATCTAAAAAGACATTTAAAAAGTACATAAACCTTTCAGTGGCACTATAGTAGAAGACATTACCAAGTACTTAACAGAAATATGTCTGATTTCATAAATTGTTCAGTTTTGGGAAAAAAAAACAAAAAAACATGCAGTGATAGCCTAACATGTTTTTCTTCTTATATGTACTGTTTTACAGTCATACACACCCCGGTTGAATGCTCCCTTTCATCCAGTGTGGAGGTTCCACTTACTGTACCCTCAGCAGAACTAAATCCTCACGAGCAATTTGGTAAATCAAAGTGATGAATTTAAGTTTAAATCTAAAATCCATGTGTGATTAAAGAAAAACCCTTTAGACAAAACTGACTGCCGTAAATAGATTAAGAACATAATTTAGTAAAGATTAAAGCTAGTTTGATACTGAATCATGAAATGGTGTTTATTCTAAATATTGATCAGTTGACTTTGTGGTCAATTGGTGGGGTTGATAGGTGGGGTGTACCCTCAGCCGAACTAAATCCGATACTGAATCATGAAATGGTGTTTATTCTAAATTTTGATCAATTTACTTTTTGGTCAATTAGTGGGGTTGATAGGTGGGGTAGATGAGGACAATTGGTCCTCATCTAAATTGTCCCTTACAGCTTTATTTCATATTTTCTTTACAGAAAAAAAGGTAACACTTTATTTCTATAGTCCACTTCAGACATTCAGTACAACAGTAAGTAACTTTGCAACTACATGTCAACTAGCAGTTAGTAGAGTTTTAGTAGACTGTCTACTTAATATCTTCTAACACTTTCTTTGTCAACTTATTCTACTAACCCTAAACCTACCCTAAGTCTACTCTGAGAGTTAGTAGACATGTAGTTGCAAATTAATGAGAATTAGTTGACGGGTAGTTACAGGGTAATTGGTCCTCATCTAAATGGCCCCTTACAGCTTTATTTCATATTTTCTTTACAGAAAAAAATATGGAGAGGTTCTCCGATATTTTGACATCTTATCCTTCTGCTGAGCCTCAGAAAAGCTCTGCATCATCATGGTCTTTTCGGCAGCAGAAATCCTCAGAGCGCTGGAAAGAAGCAAGTCCATACCACCTAAAATGCCTTATTGCATAAGAGGCTGTTGGTCAGCCTTTGTGTTGGCTTTGCCAAGGTGCATGTGTTTTGGGGGACACCCAGATGAAAACCACAATTATGAGAAAAGTAGGTTTTCTCCGTAGGTGCAGAGAGTGTCTTCCTGAGGAGTGGTTCTGTGGGGACTGTGATGTATTGCATCACAAAAAACAGCCACTCCACAACAGGGAATGTGTGAATAATGTTTTTTTTAAGCCATTCCTCCAAACGCATGTGTCATTAAAGGACAAGATGGATATTTCATCCATGAGCAAGGTATGTTCTTGCAAAAGCCCTCATTTTGCTGTTCATGTTTGTATGCAGCCAGTTACAGATAATCTAAATTAGTGCTTTCTTTTTGCCAGCTTGCATTTTGCCAACAGTGAAGGCGCCAGACTGCTCCTGTGAAGGCACAAACTTCACCATATTACTGGGCAAACCAGTGATTTTAATTCCCATCAATGGTAAGAACAATTCACTATTTAGATTGCTATTGTAGATTTGATGTTTTTCATACAAGTGTGCTGTGGCATTGTGCTTACAATTGCAGTCGTGTCAAAATCTATGGTATAGCACATGGTATTGTCATTAGCCAACACAGCTGTTTGTAATTTGATGATTTAGACAAATGTAAACAATGTGTGATACTACTCAAGAAGTCTGGTTTGAGTGCCGGGATTATAGGAACTTGTGCAACGTCTCTCAACCATTCACAATGTGCAGAATTACCTAACTGTTTTAAAATACATTTTTACATGTACTTTTTTGTCCAAAGGGCGTTTTGACTTGCATCAGCCACTATGTATGTCAAACGTGCCAGCATCAGTGGATCCCTGACTTGAAGGACCTCCTTAGGAGTGGATATTGGCCTGCCTCTGTCACCAGTTCCACACTTTATACATTGGATCTCCTGAGCTCCTTTCAGGAACTCAAGGTCATCTCTCCGGGATTCTCCAGACAAGCCTTCGCAAAGCTGCTGGACTATCGCACTAAGATTGGAGGAAGAGTAAGTGTAATTGTTATTACCATATTATAAAATTTCTTTCCATTATCAGACATTGTTACATATACTATTTCATTCTATATACAGTGGGTACGGAAAGTATTCAGACCCCCTTAAATTTTTCACTCTTTGTTATATTGCAGCCATTTGCTAAAATCATTTAAGTTAATTTTTTTTCCTCATTAATGTACACACAGCACCCCATATTGACAAAAAAACACAGAATTGTTGACATTTTTGCAGATTTATTAAAAAAGAAAAACTGAA